CTGCATGTTGTCTAACACAATTATAATTCATTAAGCTTCATCTGGATAATAGTCTAAAAAAAACCCGGCTTAAATAAAACTGAAGCACTTAACGCCCTAATTAAATCTATAACAATAAAATGTGTTTTACCCAAGAGCGAATCATTTCATTAGAAACTTACAAATGATCTATGTGATAAATAAATAAATATATATATAGATGCAGATATGTATGGATACATTATCTGCACAAGTTTAGATATATTTGAATATGCGCTGAAAACAGCAGCACTACAAACATATCTTGTAGATACTTTTGCCAGCGTTTCTATGCACTATAAGTGGCTCTGCATAAGCTACTCGCGATTTATGAAGCGCGCTGTGTTATATTTGCTATAAAAAACGCGCCATTAAATAATTTTGATAATTTATCTGACAGATAATTGTGCCGAAGTGCGCAGTAAAAGGCGATTTAATAAATGTATCTCTCGACTGAGTTAAGCACGGCACGCGCAGCTCGCGTTGCTTTAGCTCGTCAGCTGTGTGAATTTATGGCTTACAGATGCATTACTTTGGTTGTATGTTAAGTACATACATGTACATATATATTGTTTCTGTTGTTGTTGCTATTGTTTGTTGTTGTTGTATCTACAATGCCAACCAATTTCCGCTCATTAAGAATGCGTAACGTTGCGCTTCGCATGTGCATGCGCGTATATACATATGTATACATAAATATATATATATATATATATATATATATATATATTTGTGTGTGTGTGCGTGCAAGTGCATTTGTATCTTAAAGACATGTGAAACATACGTTCAGGCGATGGCAAATTTATGGCCCGTGGGCGCGATAAGCTTCCTGCATGCGCGCATCTTTTAGATACATATGTATCTGCAGCTTCTAAGCGAACTATCTCCACATACCCTATAACCTCAATTAATTAGCAAATGAAGAGGTCAGAATGGTTTTGATCAAGTCTATGTAACAGGCAAAGCGAGGTCTTTATATAGAAAACATTGAGAGGGTCCAAACTTTACTCTTACAGCACGCTCTGCAGAAGTTTCTATAAGATGACTTCAACGGTTCTGCAGCTGTATTGAATATTTCAAATTCAGGGCATCTTTCAGTCAAGCATTCCTTACTCTGGAGACTACATTCTTGTTCTAATTAATAGTTGTTGTTGTTCTCTCTGCTTTGAAATCATGCATAAATTGCAGTCTCCTTTGTCGCCGTTGTCAGCATCGATAAGTCGAGTGTCAAGAGATCTGCTCGTTTCTGTTTCTGTTTCTGCTGCAGATTCAGTTTCAGTTTCAGTGTGCACGCAATGCACGGCTATCAGCTGCCCCATCTACCTGCTGCTATATCAAATCTTGTATCTCTTTTAGTCGCTTTGTATCTTTCGGTCTTTCACTCTTTATTTTTTTTTGCTCGTTTGTTCGGCTGCCCTCGTCTGTTCGTTCGTGCTTTGCCTCGCATCGCAGTCGGAAATAATTTCAACTTTTGGTCGTTGAACTCTTTTTGATTTATTTATTTTTTTAATTTTATTTTTCTTTTCTTACTCACAAAAAAATTGTGTGCTTGCTTTGTATACCCTGCAGAAAATCAAATTTATGTGGCACACAAAAGAAGTATGAGTATATATACACATTATCTATATATGTATCTATATCTATATAAATGTATATTCTTGAATATATATTCAATTCAGTCCGTCTGTCTATATATTTGAAAGCGTCGATCTAAGAAACTGTAAGAAAGTATGGTTTTTGGAACTATCAAAAATGAGTGGTCAAATTATAATTACGTAGGTCTTTGAAGCTAGAATTTTATTAGTTTATGTTTACTATACAATTTTATTTTTTTCTATATTTGGGATACCGATTTTTTATACTATTTGATTATGAAGATGCGACTACAGGAGCCAAGGATCCATTTCCAATTAGTAATTGTTTTTAAAAGACCAGAATTTTCGGAGTTCAGGGTATCTCCAAGTCGGGCAACCTGACGGTTTTGCTTATCGTTTGCAATTTTTGCCGTTGCATACAATTTTATTCCGCATATTCACTTGAATTTCGGGAATTTTATTTGTTTGCTGGAATCAAACCAGTTTCTTAGCTTTTAAATATAAATCGAATTTGTTATTAATTACCATTTTTGTATTATTTTCTTAAAACCCTCTCTTTGCTATTGCCGCAAGCATTGTTAGAGCCTGATCCCATTTTAAATGGTAATCGACATTATTAAAGTGTATGTAATAAATAATGAGATATTGGGATAATGGGAAATGGAGGCGTGCGGATTCCCTAGTTGGGATAGGAATTCTCGATCTGCAGCATAGTGTACAATTCTCTTTTCTGGGTCTTCTCGGCTAGAGCAAACATGCAATGTAATTGCGAAGATATCATTCGGACTAATATGGGCAATATTATTTTAGTCTTAGTAAATTTTAATTACATTTTTATGCGTATAGTTTGCATAGATACAAGCTATCATAAGTTTAAAAATATATACATATATACGAGGCATCTCCCAACTAGAGCCGATTGCATGCCAGTTTCTGTTTGATTAAAAAGAAGGTCTTCTATTTAATTCTATTTTACTAATTGATCATCTAGAATTGGTTTAACATAAAAAAAAAAATGTCAAAATATAATTCCAATTCTCTTATATTTTAAAGAAGAAGACAGAAGAAGAACGTTTAATAAGCGCTGTACAGATCGCTGAGGGACACATTTAATCATTTAATCATTTATATATATAAAATAATTCAAATATATACATCCATGATTTCAAATGAATAATCCATTGTGATAAGTTTTTATTGTCAACAAAAATGTTTTAATGCTTTTATCGAGTTTAGATCTATTTCAAGCCGAACTCTGCCATCTACTCTGGCTGCAACTTTTGCAATTTTGACCTCAATTTTGCTTACTTTTAACCTTCTGCTGCTGCAATCGCCAAGAACTTCGCTCATTAAAATGGACGTTTTTCGCTCTTCTTCTTCTCCTTTTTTATTATAAACATTAAAACAACAAGTTGCTGCGGCATCTCTTTGAATGTTTCGCATTTGGCTGTGGGGATGATGCGAATATTAACAGAGAGTCAGACGCAACATAGCATACAAAACATTTAACTTTAATTATCGCTCATAAAGACAACAACAACAGCAACAATAACAACAACTCGATTGCAGTTTGCAGTCATTATATTATTTTTGTTTTTTGTTTTGTTTAATCAGCATTTGCTGTTGTTGTTATTTTTCTGGTGTTTTCTTTGACTCCAGGTACAGGTTTTTCCACATTTTCCATGGGCGACCCCCGAAGCCTCAAGCGGCGACCCACTGCACTCCAATGCACAGTTTTCCACAGTTGCTGCTAAAAGTTTTTTGCCAGCTGTTGTTTTTGCATTTGTTACTCTTTGGCTTGTTTGCTTTGTTTTTTTTTTTTTTTTTTTTTTTTTTTTGCACAGTCATGCCAGCACGCCTCAATTGTCGACACTGGCACAAACACACAAACGCACACAGAGAAAGATATATAGATGCAGATACAGCTGCAGTCAAAGACACACATTCATATATACCAACACACTTGCATTGACTGACAATGCGATATTGTGTAATCGCCCACGTTGATTTATCTCATTTAAGTGACTCCAAAATGACGCCAACGCCAAAGCCGGCGTCGACGTCGACTTTGCCAGATGATGCTAAGAGCGTAATGTGTAATAACTCGCAAATTGCATTCGCTTGTCGTATGCCCTGTAATCAGTAAACACTTTGAAGACGAGGCTTTAAATACTCAAAGATATTTCTTATCTAACAATCCAATTTCTTTTTTCCGCTTACTAATTCATTTACCCTAAGTCTATTTATTGAAAAGGCTGACAGTTGACAAATTTGGTGGAAATTAATCAATTATATTTTATTTTAATATTTAATAATAACAAAATATTATAATTCAAGCGACCCAATGGATTCCATGATAAATAAAGAAATACAGTACAATCCGGTTATAACGCCTCCGCTTGTAGAATCCGTACGGTTATTGCGTAGAAAATTCTGGTCCTGTGCGAACCTATACGATTATAGCTTCTTTCGGGTATAACGACAGCCACTGGAGCGTCGTTATAACCAGATTCTACTGTATTCCAGTCGCCTTCCAATGCTCAATATTTTGTGTCTTTCACGTGCAATTATTGTCTTTAGTTTATTTGGAATTACTTGCTAGCTAGAGTAGCAGCATTATTCTATCAATCGGATACAGGGTAGATGATAGTCGACCATACTCATTTGTGACATTCACATATATATTTAACATGCAGTTGAAGTTGATGTTCGCTGTCGCTTCTGTCGCTTCTGCTGCTGCTGCTGCTGCTGCTACTCGCGTATATTTAGTCGTGCCTTAGTCGTGCATTTTAGCTTCTTAATGTTATGTTTGCAATTTTTGGCATTGCATTTGGCATTGTTTTCATAGCCGTTGCATTGTTTGGCAAACCCCCAACTTGAATTCAACTTGTTGTCGATGTTGTTGTCCAAGTTGTTGCTATTCCTTTTGTCAACATGCAGCTGCACATAAAGTTGCAAATTTCTATATTTTTTCCGACTTTTGTTGCTAAGTTCAAAATTAACTTTGAGCTAAGTAGAAATTTTGTGGTCATGATCAGACTCATGGCTCAAATAATTGAGTGAGAAATCAGCTTATGAATGTTTGATTGTATTGTTGTTTTGAGATTCAATTTCTTTTTGCTTTTCGTTATTTCACTTCTTCTGACTCGAACTTTAAGGATCAATCAGATACAGCATTGGGAGATACACAGGAGTTCTAAAAATCAATTCTGCGATCGAGCCTAAAACCCCTTCCTTTTCCCCTTCCCCTTCCCCTTCTACCTCTCCCACTCATTCTCTTCCCTTCCCTTCCCCTCCTTCACCTGCTCTTTCTCTTTTACTTGTTGATGTAAAGCGGGCCCTATAGATGGTCTCTGTCTAATAGTTAGTCTATGATAGCGAACTCACCTGTCTGATGACTCAGATGAGTCGTAACGATCCACGCAACGTTTCTTTATGCTCTGCCCGTTCCCTCGCACTCCACGCTCTCCTCTGACAGTTGTTGTATTTGTTGTTGTTGTTGTTGTTGCAGTCTTTCTGGCGCCTTGATAGAGCTGAGATCGCAATGCGTTGATATCCAATTTAGCTGCTGCTGCTGATGCCGTCGATGCTGTTTGCTTGGGTTTCGTTGTATTGTTGCTTGTTGCAGTTGTTGCTTTCGTTGTTTCCCTGCCCCGTTTCGTGCCCTGCACAATGCCAATGCTGCCGCTTGTGGGCGGGAGCAACAGCAGCCGCGTGGGCGTATTGAAGGGCGCCTTTGGCGGCTGGGGCGGTGGTGGCTTCAATTCAATATTTGTCACTCGAGCGGCGGGTGGGGCGAACGGGAATGCCGGAGGGCTGGCCGAGGGGGAGGCAGTTCCTGTCAAACTGTTCAAATTGACGCCGTTTTTCAGCTGATCAAACAATGACAAAGCCGCATTGGATGTTAAAGTCTTCTTTGCTGTTGTTATTGTTGACTTTGTTGTTTCTGTTGCTGTTGTTGCTGTGGTAGTTGGGGCCGTGGGCGTGGCTATTGGTGGCTCGCTAACCGTTTCTTTAGTCTTTGTCGCTGTGTCCTTCGACGGCGTGCCAGACATTTTCTTCACTTTGCTTTGCTCTTTGTTTCCGTTTGCTTTTCAATTTGTTTTCCTCTATGCACTTTTTTGTTTATGGCTCCTTTTGTTATTTTCTTAACTGTTTTGAAACGATTGTTTTAATTACATCCCGCTCTTGTTGTTGTTGCCATTTATTTGGCTTACAACACATTGTTATTCAAATTCACTTTTGAGCCTTCTTCCTAAGCTAACTTTGCCTTAAGCTTCTTTTCGCATTTGCTTTGCTTAAGTCATACATAGTTTATATAGTTTTTTAATTTTTTTATTTATTTATTTTTTTTTTAACTGATTGAGTTGGTTTTCACTTTATAGTTTAAGAGCTATATGAAAATGAAAGTTGATTAAGAAAAGAGGGATTGATGTTATTTCTTGTTTTATTAATATTTTTAGCATTCTACCGGGCTTACTAAATGACATTTTATCTTATCTCACTTTACTTTACTCTACTTTAGTTAGATGAATTGAGAATAACCTCATTTCCTAACCTCTTTCAAAATAGTATTTTTTCCATTTTTCTATGTTTTATTGTCATATTTTTTGATGAATCTCTTCTGGCTTTTCGTATTATTTATTCGAAATATTAACTAATCAATTAAGTGCTTCTAATCTTAACTGCTTTTTGAGTCGTTTTGGTAACTTTATTCTTTTTACTTTAAATAGATTCCATTTAAATTTGTGTTTAGCACCCAAATATTATTTTTCACATTTCAACAGCTCCATCATTTATTTTAATATTTGTTAACAATTATATTATTGACATTTTCAGTGACAGGTGCGCTTCACTGTACCGCAATATAATGCAATAGCTTCTGTAATATTCACAATTTCAACTAACACACACATATATAAGATTATATATGATTTATTTTCTCTTTTTGCTTCACTTCATTAAATTTACACCCATCGATTAATTTTTTACTTTTGCATATTTGCATTTATAATAAATTTTTTGTTTTATTTATTATTATTATTTTTTTTTTTTTTTTTTTTTTGACACAATTTTAATTTGCAGTTTTGCATTTTGCATTTGATCAGCATTTATTAAAAGCAATTATTTATAATTGAATTTTCATTAACTTTGCATTATGAATGGCTGCTAATTTTCTTATGATTTTTATTCGTTTCCGTTTGTTGTTGCCTTTGCATTTGCAGTGCAGAAAACAAACCAAAAGCGAACAAAACTTTTTTGCAAGCTTTGCAAACAGTTAACCGGTTCTCGAGTCTCTCGAGCTTTGTGTTGTGTGTATTTTTTTTTATGTTTGTTGAAACAACGAGACCGAAACAATAAAAACAAAGTCACAAATCAGACATTTGTTTAACAACAAAGCCCAAGAATCTAACTAAATGCATTCCAATACACACGCACGAGCACTCGTACCTCTCTCTCTCTCTCTCACACACACACTCTCTTTCTCTTACACTCTTTCTCTCTATCGCTCTCTTTGTCGCTCATGTGACGTTATCAATGCGTTGCTCTCCGGGGCCAAGTTGTCTATTAATAAGAAGAAAAGCACACACAATATCAATTTTGTTTGTGTTTTCGTTTTCGTTTTCGCATTCATTCGTTGCAGTTGTTTTAATTGCCATGTAAAAAATGTCAGTCGCACTGTTGTTAATTGCGTGAAACAAAGTGGCTCGAAAAACTGCGCGTTGCTCTCACTGCCCCCGTTGACTGCGTTGCTTTGGCTGCTGGCCTCTGCCTGCGACTGACTGTCGCGACGAGCGCCGCATTGGTGTGGGGCCCGACACACGAAGAGCTTTAGCCAACTAGAACCGAGCAGCCAGCACGAAACGAGCGAAGTCAACAAGAACGAGCGTCCAACGAGCAACGACCGCAACTTCGTGGCGACGCACGAGCACCAAAACACCAAACGACGACCAAATCCGACGACGCCAACAATGTTTTCGTGTTGTTGCTTTTGTTGCCTTTTACGCCGAGTAGCGAATTGGTCGTGGAGGCTCGGAGAGGTCGGGCGACCGACCACAGACAGACGCTGGCAATATGCAAGCGAAGCGATGTTCACTTTTGATTTCTGTGCAGCGGCAGCAGGTTTGGCATAGTATGTTAGAGCAGAGGGTCGGACGCACGGCCGAGGGACCAATGGGCCAAGGGGCCAAGGGGGCATGCGAAGGTGGGGTCTTTAGGGAAGCCGGTTGTGCGGCTGCTGTTGCTGCTTGTTGCGCCACAAGCCCAAACGCTGTATTTTGTTTTTGTTTTTTCATTTTTTCTGTTGGAAGTTCAATATTTAGTTTTCGAACACGCCACGATAGGCGTCGTTGTTGCCGAGTGGGTGGAAAAACGTAGCTGTGGAATCATGTTGTATCTTAATCATATCTGTTACCTGTTGATATGAGCGTGAGAATTGGAGTATAAGCAATCAGCAAAGGAACGGGTTCTCAATGGACGACTATCAAGTAGATCAACAGCTCAAGCCAATTCTTATTTGGTCTTATCTTAAATTTTATAATCTACAGCTTGTCTGACAAAAATTGTTTTGAATTTAAATTTTTGATTAGCTGATTTTGCTATTATTTATTTATTTATTTTTAATTGCATGCAAGCTCTGTGCTTTTTTGTTGTATTCACACTTTGACTTATTTATAAATTTAGTACAATTACATTTTATTTCAAAAATCTATTTGTTTTAATTTTTATTGATTTTCTCTCATTTTTATTTCATTTCCAATTTGTATACCTCCGCTCAACTTCATGATTCACTTATCATGGACACTTCAACTACCGTTAGGTATGTAGTTATATAAACAAGACAGCTGTTTGGCTTGACTTCGCACACATTCCTTGCCCATTTGCCGGTGGTTTATCATTTTATAGAGCACCTACTGCAGCACTTCCTTAATCATGCTCTAAAAATAAAAGCCCACGCTTTTTAGTTGCAGTTTCCTTTGCCCACACGAATTCGCCTCAATAATTATGCAAAGTCAATTCAAAAGCAAACAATAACAAAAATCAAGTAAGCCCGTGAGCAAGACAGAGATCGCACAAACACAAGCTCACACATAAAACGTCTGTTATCAAACACCAACACACTCATACATACATACACACACTCGCTCAATCAGTCACCAACACAAATCACGTCATGAATACAAATTATACATACATATATACACACACACACACACATCAAAATAAAACGAACGTAAAGAAAAAGCAGCAAAGTCAACAACACCAACAACAACAACACCAGCAGCAAAATCAAAGCCAACACGTGCTTTTATTACGTTACATGAGCAATCTCTCTCTCTCTCTCTGTCTCCCTCTGTGTGTGTAATGATGTGTCTCAATGTATGTGTGTGTCGGCTTTTTGTGATGCAACGGTTCTGACAAAGAGTGTAGCACTCGCTAGGTTTGGAGAGAGAACGAGCTAGAGAGCGCACTATCTCTTAATATGTATGTGTGAGCAGCAGAACTTGTTTTCTAGCTTCGTTTTTGTTATTGTTGCTATAGTTTGACTTTGTGCTTCCAACTTCTCTCTGTCAGCACAGAAACCAAAACCAATGCAAAGAAATGGCCAAATGCAGAAATTAGCTCTACCAAAAACTGTCGACACTTACACGCAATTATTTGTAGCTTTTGCGATACTTTTAACTTTTCCCCAATTTCGAATTGATTTCACACACGCTCCCAAATTAACTACGGCAAACAACGTGACTGCACCGATCGAGCAAAGAAAACGCACTGCATTAGTAAATCGAAAATTGCAAATGCAATGCCAGAGACGAGGAAAGAAAGAGTGAGCTATGAATCCCTAAGTGCTGCAGTGACTCAAGCGAGGTATGTACATTTTACTGTTGGTTTTTGATGCTGATTGAAAATCATTAGAATTTGATCGAAATGCAGTATTAGAAGATACATACATATTTATTTTTCAATTACATAAATACAATAATTTTGTATTTATATGAATGATCTACAGCAAAAACATAGAAAGAACCTAAAAGAGAAAGAGAAAATACGTTGTGCGCTCGGAATTCAAAATAAAAATGAATGAATTCTCTATAGGACGTTAATTAACACGGCCTCTCTGCTATCAGAAAGTGTTAACGTAACTGAGCACCCAGCACTGTTAAAATATTTCCATCATCACTCAATTGTGCTCGTTGCTCACGCCTTTTAACAGTGCTCAGTGCCCATTCCATGCAGTTAACATGTTCATGTTAATTCTGTCGCTTAGCATACAGTCAGCAAAGCAATGAGCTTTTGAAAGAGGTCGTCGCATATGTTTTGAGATCATTTAGTACTTTCGACAGCAGCCTTTACCGTAAAGTATATTTTTAGTATATATTTATTATTTTTTAATATAAAATATAAATCGTTAGTTTTCCAAGTATTTTAGGATATTTACGAATTTTTATTAAAAACTTGTTTAATTGCGCTTTAGTTTGTCTAGAATACTGTTTTTAAAATTACAAACATTAACAATAAACAAAACTTAATCGTAATAGGGGAACGTCGATATACCATAAAATAAATTAACTAGCTGTAAGGCAAAACACAGACGACTACACAAACAATATTATATATATTATATATGTACGTTCTATGCATGTATATAAATGTATGTACAATTCCTTTTTCATTTGACTTGACTTGGCAACAGCAACAGGTCTAAGGTCTAAGCGCATTTTGGTGGGTTGCATAAATAGAAATCTAACCTAAAAATGCGCATCCATAATTTTGGTGGCAACTGTACTTACAACCAGTTTTGATAATTTCACTAAATTACGTTACGTCTTAAAGACTTTTGGCAGACTATGTCCATACAGAGGTAGGTATAAGGCCCTCCTTGCTGGTTCCGGGCGGCGTTAGCACCTCTTTGTTGAGGAACTCCAGCGGCAGATTAACCAGATGACCCTAGAAATATATTTCAGAAAATGATCTAAATATTATAAAAAATTAAATCAAGTAAGACTCATGAGATCGGTTTAAAAATAATTGACCTTGGAGAGATATACTCTTCATTTGTGTGGCAATTAATTTACCTTAAATTGAAAATCAAATATGAGGTTATGTAAAAAGAACAAATTGTGGGCAGCTGCTCCAAGTTTAAGCGAGATTCTAAAGTAATTCTAGTTCTATAATTTTCTCCCCCACGCTTCTCTGTGTAGCATTTCCTGTGCCATAATTTTTCTAAGTAACTCTCTGGTACATCACGTTAAGTCCCACCTGAATTTCCGTTGCCCGCTTGGCGGCCAACTCTGGCTCAGTTTTCGACATCGGCGGGTCCTCCTGATATTTTCGCAGACTAGCAAAGGTCTTCACAAAATCCGTCGGAATACACTTGAAAACCTCGTCGTAGATCTCCGTATTTCTCGTCGATATACGACGCCAGGTATTGTGCCAGAACTGATCACAAATCGGATCGCTAATGTTCAGGTCAGAGCGCATCGAGCTATCCGGATCCAATAGGCCTGGAAGAGAGAGCAATCAATAGGAGTTATCCATGAATGAGCATATCTATAGATAGCCTACCTAGATGTTCTTTGAACAAATACTTTCGCAATCTTCCAGCGAAGATGCCACTCGGATACTTCTTGCCATTCATGCGTCCGTCCTCGTACTCCTCATCCATGATAATGGCAGCGATTTCCGAATCCCGTTTGCCAATCATCGAGCGATCGTTGATATTCGCCGAGCCACAAATTACAACACGATCATCGACGATCAACAGCTTGGAGTGGACGTAGATCAGCTCCGTGATTGGCGTATTATTCAGATAGGAATGATTTCGTAGACTGTGGAAGGATATATAGTTCTCGGGCTGTGTGATTCCCGCCTCCTGAAGGCGTGTCAAAATTGCAGTGCGACCTCTGCAACAGAAACGAAGAGAGATACAGTTAGGGAGAGAGATAACAAAAGCTCTGTAAGAGAGTATGCAAGGAATTTCCATATTTCCATATATGTATACTACATACGATATAGAATGGAATTCCTTACTTTAGTGACGCTAGACACCAACCTGGATATGGATGCATAGTTCCAGTGGGTGATAGCACGCACTGCAATGCCCGTACTGCCGCCCACATCTCCCTCAAAGCCTGGCAATAACGGCATTATCACATAGACACGAAACGGTTTGCGTTCCCTGAAACGGATTTAGGTGGATTAGGTCAGATTAAGATAGCTTATCCATATTATTATAATATTCTATGTATAGACATTAGATATGACAGACCTGTAGATCCTATAAATTCTACACATCCTATAAACTCACTTGTGGGCACGCACGATCCGTTTGAAGAGTGTCTCCCCGATCTGATTTCGCACATTGAACGTTCCCGAGACTCCCAAGCCCAGCTGCATGGTGATAAAGAACTGATTCTCTATATAGACATAATGCTGGGCTTTCGTAATTGTCTCGATGTAGGCATCGTGTATGCTCTGCTCGACCAGATCCGGCTCGATGAAGCCGCAGCTCCAGGCCGAGGCGCTGCGCAGCAGCTGACAGGTGACTCGCTGCTGACGCCGCTGCTGCAGCTGCTGCAACTGCGCATTGAGTCGAATCTGGTGATAGCTCTTCGGCATCAGATAGGGATAGCGCACGTTGTCCCGCAGCTTCTCCAGCTTCATGGCATTCCAGCGCTGTATGAAGTGACGGGCCACATCGCGAGCGGAGGCGCCGACCACACAGAGGCCGACGTCATGCCAGGGCATGCGGGGCGTGGTGGTGCGGTCGATGATGTCCACGAAGGGCGCATTCAGATTCATCCAATCCTTGAGTATAAAGTTAGAATAGTCCTTTCCGAACCAATACTTTGCCTGGCCATAAAATTCGCTATGTATCTGTGTGTTAGCCTCCGCTCCAGACCCCGTACAAGCTCCAGCTCCATCTCGAGCTGCTGCTGCTGCTGCTGAGCTGGATGTTTGTGCCATATCCTCTTTGCTCACCTCTGTTTCAGCTGTTTCTATGCAATAGATGGCAGCACCTGCTCCTGCCTCCGGCTCCGTCTCTGTGCTCTCCGTCACTTCGCTCGTGGTCAATCGCTGCATAAAGTCCTTGCCCTTGCGTGCGCCCTTCATTGCATTGTTCTTCAGGCGATCCAGCATATTCTTGCGCTCCAGCTCGGGCGTGTTCAGCTTCATGCCCTCCAGCGCTGTGGACTCCAGGGCCAGCTCGCTGGAGGCTGCCGAGAGCATGTCTGGAATGAGCAGGCGGTCTCCTGGCTTTAGCACTCGCAGCTCCACGCCCGGCGAATTGGGCTCCTCGTGAGCTGGCTGAGTACTGGTGTCCTCCTTGGCGGTTGGCGTTTCATAGTGAGCATTGCGCGAGGACTTGCGGGAGCCAAAGGCCGAGTCCTCGTCGTCCCTGTTGAAGAGCCCGCTGGGCGTCTGTCGCGTGCTCCCCGAAACGGAACCCGTGGAAATGCTGCCCAGATCCGTCAGCCGATGCGAGCGATCGTCCCAGCGACCGTAGCACAGATCTAAGCCGCCTATAAATGCGTATGTCTGGTCTATCACAACAATCTTCTCGTGGTGCGCCCACAGCAGGATGCCCCCACGCGCATGGTCCGGATGTCGCATGACCTGAAGGAATACGAATATGGATATGGGACTAAGGAACTTCGAGTTCAAGCACATGTCGTACCTTAATATTCTCGTGCTTGGCCAGTGTGGACTTGCTGTAGTAGCTGTTGATGCCGAGCGCCATTTCCACCTCCTTGTAGAGCAGCACAAACACCCGCACGCCCTGCTTGGCCTTGCGCAACAAGATCTTGTCCAGTCGCCAATAGTCCCCGTCCAGAGCGGGCCGCTTCATGTAGATCTCGGGGCTGAGCCACCAGTCGGCAATGTAGATCTCCTCCGTGGCCGCCTCTAGACCGTCTGCCACGGCGGCCATGTACTGGGCTCCATCCACGTACCAGACAGCCTGGGTGTTCGCGCGCATGGGAGCGTACGACATGTGCGGGTTGGGGCAGGTGAAGTCGCGAGCGTAGGTGTGCGCCGTGTTCTTGAGGTACTGCATCCACTCCTTGCACTTGCGCCGCGTCCAGCACTTGAGCACAATGTGGCGGCTGTTCGTGAGCACCTGCAGGCCTTTGCGCATGCCCGTCTGGTAGATGCCCGTGGAGACGTCGAAGCCCTGATCGAACAGAATGACCGCTCGAATGCTACCGTCTGTGGGCCGAACGTAGCCGAAGCACGTCTCCTTCACGAAGAACCAGCGGCTGCGCCATGTCCCGCAGACCACATCCGAGCAGAAGTAATTGCACCGCACACAGCAATTGCGCTGAAAGCACCCGAAAAAATTGCAGCCCGCCTGGCCCGGCCTCGTCGAACCCGTCCTCTTCAATATGACGCCCTCCTTGCCCTTGATGCCCAGACCTGAGACGAATGACACATTGGACACCTCCACAAAGTTAAGCTGTAAAGTAAATGCGAAAAACATTAGACTGAACCCATCTCTGATGTCAATCGTAGCTTTTAGAGATTAAAGTTTCAATAAAGAAGCTGACAAATACTCAATTCAGGAAAAGGATCTCACATACATCCTAGCCAAACCTTCACCACACTTTACCAAATGCAACAAACGAACTCGAACTAGTCTAAGCCAGCCAAACACAGCCACATTTCAGCCATGTTTAAATTCAGTTACATTAAGGCGTTAGTCCAAGACTAAGACTTTTACTTTATCAATTTCAGTTGATCTAGAAGTGCACTTTTAGCAGTACTCATGGATGGGATAAAGTCTCTCGTGTTAACCTAAAATCTGCCAGCTTATCCAACCAACCCTACCTTAACCCATCTTAACTTAAGAATTCATTATGCAACATTACATTCATTTAATGTAAATATCTTGTCTTAGTCCAAGTCAATCGTTCTACAGTTAAATAACTCATTCTCAGTCTACTCACCGTCTCATGATGGTATCGATACAAACTAATATTGAGTAAATTATACAGATAGTCCTCGAGTTGTTTGATCCGCACCGGTAGATGCTCCACTGTGATCAAGCTTTCCGGACGATTGGGAAAGCGTGGAAGTTTTCTCTTCTTTTTCTTGTGTTTCCTTTGACTGCGACGCGGCGTGAAACTGGCAAGAATGGAACTGTGCGTGGGACTGATGATATTGGCTACGATTCCAGGCCCAGCTGCATCTCCACTGCTATTATTATTGAGGTTGTTGTTGTTGGTGGTGCGATTTTGACTATTGCTAATTGGGGTGCTGGAATGCTTGACTTTGGTGTGGGCGGGCAGATCCTTCAAAGTGGACTCATCGGCCATTTGACTCGCAGCGGCCTTCAAGGTGGTGCGCTTCTCCTTGTGCGCTCGACTTGGAAACGGTATATTTAACGAGGTGCGGAAGAAGCTAAGCTGCTGATGTAAGGAATTGAAGTGCTTATAGCGCCTCTTAATGGTCCACTTGAAAGGGCCATGCGTGAGCTCGATGGTGTATCTGTAAACGAGATGTCAAAATATTCTTCATCAATCATCGGAAAACTATTTGATCAGTCAAAGTGCAATAGCTCAGTTTTCTTAGACATCTGTCAGTCAGTCCGTCAATCAAGAGATCTCGAATTGATCTGTTAGTCAGTCTAGACCGATTCGGAATTGCCTATGAATCAATCAATCACACTTACAAATTGGGATTAAGCAGATGAGTCGTCACACTCCGCTCCGTGTCGACAATTCGCACATGAATCTCTCGGCCCGGTATGAACACCTTGCGCTGAAACGAGTTGAACTTCACACTCGTCCCATAGATGCTGATGAAGGGTATTTCTTGGCGTAGGAGCACGCTATTCTCGTCATCGAACTCCTCATCATCGTCGTCCGTCTCCTTGCGCTCCACCAGCACCGGCTTGTCGCCCACAGTCGACAAGATCGTTACGGAATCAGGAAACGCCAGCGTCTCGTCATATTCCGAATCGACCATCGAGAACTGAAACTCGGGCAGGCAGCGACTGTGATGCGCCTGCTCATCATTCTCGTCTATGGCATCGTCGACGCAGTCCTTGAACACATCGTCCCCATCATCGTGATGCTCGGAATCAGCCCCATCGTTTCCATCATCGTCCGCCAGAGGATCGCAATGACCGTGGGCCGTGTAGGGCGGCACGGCCCCACTGTTCCTAGCATCATTCATGGCCTCGAATTGTGCGAAAAGTAAGGAACTATCTAAATCATCGTAGCCACGATTGATATAACCGCCATACTGACTGGGTCTATATACGTCATCCGCAGGATACTCAACTGTAATAGAAATCCAGAACGAATATATTAATAAAATATCAATATGCATATGTTGCAAAAAGAATTTAAGTTGACTCAAAGAAAGGTGTTAAGATAAAGCACAGATAAATCATGTCAGACTACAACGGTTTCTAAATATAGTAAGTCTAATATACAAAAACCATTTGAACAGAGTACTTCAAGCTGTTAACGGGGACCCTAAATATTTTCAGTGAATGAGCGCAATTCAACAAATTGGTATCTGTAATGGGACCAGTATCGCTAAAAGCATTTGATGACTCAGCCTCTTTGTTCGGTTCTCAATCACTCCAAAAATGTAGATAAAGAAGTTAGTAATATGATAATAATACAAAATATCATCACAATAATATAAAATATTATCAGTCGTTAACTTCAGTATTGACCATTGGGGACTTTAGCAAGTGTGTTTCAGGACTATCTGATTTAGCTAGTATATGTAAATAAAAATAAATAAAAAGTTCTATTGTCCAAAAATAAAAGAAAAACCCGATGGCGATGGTCCAACTATTATAATCTCTTTTGAGAAGTGACCGTGGAGGTTGAATTAAATTATCTAAAAATTATGTAATATAATTATATATTTCTGACGGGCGTGAGCGTAAGGTACACTTTACTATAAGAGCTATGCAACCCACTTTATGTAGTAGACCAGACCGCCGCCCACATACTAGTATATAAATTGTTTCAGCCTTATCTCATATTTACTCGAGTAGTTTTTGTTTCTTCGCGTAACTTGCTCACTTTTAATTAGCTAAATTCTGTTCATTGTTTCAACTAAATGCGAGCGTGTCGACTTTGCTCAGCTCTTAAGCGTGAGTGCACGAGTACTGATGGCAGCTCGAAGCACACAGAATTGCCGGCTTGTACTACTCAACTCTATCTGCATATCTATCAAATGGAAAGGGGTATCAGCATGAGCTGTGCAAAAGTTTTCTTTATTTATTTAATTTAATGATACTTCAAATTAGTCAAGTATGCTACTGATAACAAATAAAAGGACTCTAGTCGCGATTTCCCGACTAGGAGATACCCTGAACCGTATTGGAGCTGTCTGTCCATTTGTGTGAACACGTCGGTCTCAGAGAATTGGAAATATTTGTAGGTCATGGCCAAATCCATCCAAATATTAATGTCAAACACTAGAGACTTTAACTTAACCAAATACTCACATTGGAGTGTCATGCTACAAGTGGACTAGCTAAATCTAATAATGGGAGTCAAAACAAATATACTTGTTTCACTTTACCTATTGAGTATACTTAATCTTACAAATTGTATATTTATAAGTTTTAAGATAATTTGACCACATTTCATTTGATGTCTATTAAGGTATTCAACAATTTGGTATTTATTTATTATTGTATTACCATTTTAGAACTTCGATAGGAATAGTTGTCTCTCCTATTAAATATTTTACGATTTTAGTCAGAATTTACTTCTTTGTTGAGTTCAATTTTATACAAATTTAAAATTGTATCAGGGACTGTGCCAGTGCCTGTGACTTTTATCGTACAGCTACAAAATTCAAGGCCTATTTGTGGCTCGCATATGGCAAACGCTGAAAGGTACTACATATACGTTTTCAAGCTGATAAAGGGGGTTTGGTCTGGTTTGATAAGAGCGTACATAGACCATAAAAAATATTTAATTTTTATCAAAAACAAATCCACCGAATCGACGTGACTTAAGTTTTCTAAAGGTAAAAGTTTTACTAGCTTAAAGTATTGCAGATATAATATATACAAAAAATTGGCATGCGTAATATTATGCTCTAATGTCTGATAAATGCAATTTCAAGTTATATTAAATCAATAAATATAAAATTCAGTTCCCCCATAAGGTCTCTAATGATAGCCCTATTCCATTTGCTTCTCACAGATAAAAACAGTTGAAACCTTTGTGGGTTTGATTACATTGAGCACACTTGCCATTAGGTTCCAATCAAAGTATTTGGCTGAGCTATGATATATGGAGTAGATACACATATAGATAGATAACATAGATTCGAATAAATAAATGTATATGAGATCGCTACTCCTGTGATACTGATAAAAAAAGAAAATATATGACAACTAAATAAATATATTAAGCTATTAGATAGGTAATGAGACAGATTAAAGCTAGATCGCCTAAGAACTAAAATAATAAAAGAAATACCAAAAATATATATAAATCAAGTAGGAATGCAGTAGTCAGGCACCACCGATTCGTTTGCGGGAAATTATCAATAAGAAAATTGATATTTATAGTGAATTAGCTATTTTTTTACATTCCGACTTCGTTTCGCTATATAAATATCGTCTCTAATATCTTATCAGCCAAAAAGCAACAAAGGCGGTGTCTAGCTGGAAATTTATTATTCCTAACATTACGCAAACATACTGAAATATATTTATATATATTTTCCACTGTCTTCCTGGGTTCAAGTTCGACTGAGCAATAATGCTTGCTAGTTTGTGTGCCAGTTTATCGTAGAGGCTGTTTCTTGGCATTGAGGCCTCGATCATAAAATATCTTGTAAAGTTGTTAAGTTTAATAGGGTTCAAAACACGATTTTAATTTTTATTACAGCTAGTCAGTGGATCTAGAGGAAATGCTCATTATCTTAGTTTGATGAAATGTACATTGCAGGCGTGGCAGCAGATGTATACATTCTTGATCAGTACATGATTATAAGCGTGAGTGTGTGTATGTGTGCACACATGTGCATAGAAAGACGCTAACCATTTTGTTTAATATATTGTGACTGACTTAACGGCATTAAATGAAACTTTCAGCACATGAATATTCAATATTTTATACAAAAATGCCAACTCATTCGCATATTGACTATATTTGCATCTGACCTTTAAAGGGGAATTTCATAAAACGTGTAGTCGGTATCCGAAATATGACATAAATCAAAATTATATAAGATACGCATGAATGTATGTATATGTAAAATTTTGAGAGATATTGGAGATATAAACGGGAATGGTTATCGATTTTTTGCCTTTTACCAAAGCTATCATGCCCTGATTTCCCGATTCGATAGGTTCAGGAATAAATCTATTCAATTACTATAAATTCAAGCTTCCAGACATCAATTGCAAACTTCTTATATTGAATACAAAGCATATTAGAAATATTACACTCTTGGGTACAGCTGCTGAAAATATATTTAGACAAACTTGAGCAGTCACCACCCGGAGATCCTCCACAGTCAAAATTGAACAATTTCCTTAAACTAGAATATCTTATAACTTTGCTTTTACTTAACCATTCACATTCTGTGCAATGTTTATTTATTTTCAGAGGAACTTGAGGATAGTGCATGTGACACCTGCGGCTGTAATAGGTATTAATTACGATTACGTAAAAAACTGATGGCAATGTCACATAAGGTCCAGCTGCACACTTGCACATGCATAGGTTGAATCGAATATTCAAAACGTCGGTAAATTGATATTTGGGAGTCTTGAGAATTGTGATATCTATAAGTTGATGATATTGAAATGGCATTTATAATATATTATTACGAATTACCAGTTACTTACATTTTAACTAAACACGATTTCAGAAACTATTACCGTTATCGATTTAAAAATATATTTAAAGTGAATTATAAAATTTTATTTCTTGTCATTTATATATAAAATTTTGTTTTTGTTATATATGGGATACCGGCCCTAAATCATCAAATTTTTAATAAACATATTTCGAATATTAAAGACTTGTGGTTAGCTAATATACAATACACATATGAGTGTCATTAATTACAATAGTCCATCCACGAACAAAGTTTTTCTACAAATGAGTTTTTATGCGTGCATGTGAATACAGAAAAAGATCGAAGAATTATTGAAACATAAGTTCTTCGAAGGGATCAGGAGATCTCGTAGTCGTAGTCGCGTTAAATAAATATTTGATGAGCTCTCAGCGTGACGTCTTTTCACTTTCATTGCTTAAACCGTTGCTAAATGCTCATTCACACATCTTAACAGGCTGGCGATGATGAGGTCTGTTAAGTGTTGCTGTGGATAAGTTAATAAAGCTCGCGTAGCAGCAATTTCTGATAAGAATATATGATGTGATATATGAAAAGGCGGAAAAGATAAAAATAAAAGTATGCGCCAAAAACAAAATGTTTATCAGCAAAGAAGAGGGAAGAAGAAAACAATTTGCTTGTAGTATGCAAACTTTATAACTAAGTCTGTAGTTTTTTTATCATTAAAATTTTTATTATGTTGTTTTTTTTTTCAGTACAACAGACGTCACAGACTTTTGGCTTTATTTTCTAGTACATTTGCAAAATATTTGCTGCATTGCATGACTCACATTGAATGCTTCGAACGATTTGCATTGATTTGATTTGAGGTTCTGTGTGTGAGGTAGTATGATAAAAATATCTAAAAATATATGTATCGACTGCAATTAGCAGGTCTTTCAACCCGATTCTCTGTTTACTGCCGAAAGAAATCGAAACTTCCTGTTGCAGTGATTCGCCATTGTCTAAAGTTATAAGCAAATGCTCGTTGTAACGTGGGCTGCATTCACAATTTTGTGACTTGAGCGTTATGAATAATTTGCTAATGGTGCCGTTAGAGTTGCCACGCCCCCCTTTTGGCAAGGGGAGCGTCTCGAATAACACGCAAAGCTTCGTAGGCACGTGAGGCGAAAGCAACGACCAAACTCCAGGGTTATATAATATATATAAGTATATAACCTGGCTTGCAAGGCCTAAATATTTGCTTTGTAAATTGGTGGTGTAAATGGAAAATTATATAGCGCCTAATAAGTCGGAAATAGATATTTGTATAATGAAAATGGCTTGCATTAAGAATGAACTCAAAGGAAATCATAAGATAAAGAGACGAGTAGAAGCATTCGAAGCATTATGTCTAAATAAATTTAAAAAGTTTTTTAAAAATCTCTAGGCGAGCCGAACATGAGTATGAATTAAGAAATTCCCTGAACGGAAAATTACTTATTTCACTTTC